TTTTGTAAATATTCATCCATTTCACTAAGATTGTCAAATTTATTCGCATACAGTTGGGTAAAATATCTCCTAATTATTGCTTTAATTTCCTCTTCATTGGTGGTGAATTCACCTTTTTCATTTTTTGATATTGGTAATTTGATTTTCTTATTTCCTTTTTAAAATCAAATTAACCAAAAGTTTGTCTATTTTATTGGTTTTTTTTGTGAAACCAGCTCTTAGTTTTATTTATTAGTTTTCAATAGTTTTCTTGATTTCAATTTTATTACTCTCCCCTTTGGCTTTCAGAATTTCTAATTTGGTATTTAATTGGGGATTTAAAATTTATTCTTTTTCTAGCATTTTTAGTTGCATGTCCATATCTTTAGAGATAAAAAATTTCCCTTAAATTAATTACAGTTAATTAATTAATTAAATAAATAAAATTAATTTTTACTCTATCTTTCCATGGCCATTTGTCACAAGTAGTTTTTATTGCATCATGATCTGAAAAAGATGCATTTAATATTTCTGCCTTTCTGCATTGGATTGTGAGGTTTTTATGCCCTAATAAATGGTCAATTTTTGTGTAGGTGCCATGTACCACTGAGAAAATGGTATATTCCTTCTATCACCATTCACTTTTCTACCAAGGTCTACCATATCTAACTTTTCTAAAACTCTATTCACCTCCTTAACTTCTTTCCTGTTTATTTTGTGGTTAGATTTATCTAGTTCTGAGAGGGGGAGGTTGAGGTCCCCCACTAGTATAATTTTGCTGTCTCTTTCTTCCTATACCTCCCTTAACTTCTCCTCTAAGAATCAGGATGCTATACCACTTGGTGCATATATGTTAAGTAATGTTATTACTTCATTTTCTATGGTACCTTTTAGCAGGATGCAGTTTCCTTCCTTATCTCTTTTTATTGCATCTATTTTTGCTTTTGCTTTGTCTGAGGATTGCTACCCTTGCTTTTTTAACTTCAACTGATGCATAATTTATTCTACTCCAGCTTTTAACTTTCTTCTGTATGTATCCTTCTGCTTCATATGTGTTTCTTGTAAACAACATATTGTAGGATCCTGGTTTTTAATCCACTCTGGTATCCGCTTCTGTTTTATGGGAGAGTTCATCTCATTCACATTCACAGTAATCTGTGTCTTTCTCTCCATCCTATTTTCCCTCCTGTTTATGCTTTTCTCTCTTTCTCCCTTTCCATCCTCACTAGAGTTTTGCTTTTGAATACCACCTTCCTCAATCTGTCCTCCCTTCTATCAGTCTCTTCCCTCTTCTTCCCCTTTTCCTTTACTACTTCTTCCCTCCCTTCTACCCACCCCCCTTTTTTCCTCTTTTCCCTCCTACTTCCTTTAGTGTAAGTTAGATTTCTATAACTAATTGAGTACGTTATTTCCTCTTTGTGCCAAATCTAATACGAGTAAGGTTCAAACAATGCTCATCTCCCTCCCTCCTTTCACTTTCCTGTAATAGATCTTTGTGCCTCTTCATGTGATGTAATTTACCTGTGTCTCCACCTTTTGTTTTCTCCCTTTCCCCCTCTTAGATATTTTATTATCACATCAAAGTCAACTTATACCCATGCCCTCTGTCTATGTATACCCCTTCTAAATGTCAAAATAAAGATACATTTCTCAAGAGTTATAAGTATCATCTTCCCTTGTAGGGATGTAAACAGTCTTATTGAATAACATGTTGTTTTTTCTTTCCTGTTTACCTTTTTATACCTCTCTTGAGACTTGTATTTGAAGATCAAATTTTCTGTTAAGCTCTGGTCATTTCATCAGGACCATTTAGAAGTCCCCTATTTCTTTGAATGTCCATCTCCTTCCCTGAAAGATTATGCTCAATTTCACTGGGTAGTTGATCCTTGGTTGTAATCCAAGCTCCTTTGCCTTCCAGAATATCATATTCCAAGCCCTCTGATCTTCTAATGTAGAAGCTGCAAGGTCCTGTGTAATCCTGACTGTGGTTCCACGATATTTGCATTGTTTCTTTCTGGCTGTTTGCAGTATTTTCTCATTGACCTGATAATTTTGGAATGTGTCTACAACATTCCTTGGCATTTTCAATTTGGGATCTCTTTCTGGAGGTGATGGGTGGATTCTTTCCATGGCTATTTTACTCTCTTGTTCTAGGATTTCAGTGCAGTTTTCCTTGATGATTTCTTGAAAGATGCTATCCAGGCTCTTTTTTTCATCACGGCTTTCAGGTAGACCAATAATTTTTAAATGATCTCTCCTGGATCTATTTTCCAGATCAGTTGTTTTTCCAATGAGGTATTTTATGTTTTCTTCTATTTTTTCATTCTTTTGATTTTGTTTGACTGATTCTTGATGTCTCATAGCTTCCACTTGCCCAATTCTAATTTTTATGAATTGTTTTCTTCAATTAGCTTTTGTGCCTCCTCTTCCATTTTGCTAATTCTGCTTTTTAAGAAGTTGTTTTCTTCAGTGTACTTTTTCTCATTTGGCCAATTGTATTTTTTAAGGACTTGTTTTCTACAGTCAATTTTTGTCCTTCCTTTCCCAAGCTATGGACTCTCTCTCATTTCTTTTTCTAATTTTTCTTCTACCTCTCTTATTTGACTTTTAAAATCCTTCTTGAGCTCTTCAAGAAGGCTTTTTGGACTTGAGACCAGTTTATATTCCCCTTTGAGGTTTCAGATATGAGTATATTGACAATGTTGTCCTCTTCTGAATTTGTATTTTGCTCTTCCTTGTCCTCATAGTAAGAATCTGTAGTCATTGTCCGTTTCTGGTTTTTGTTCATGGTGTTTGCCTATTTCCTGGCTGTTAAAGTTGAGCTGTCCTGGTGGAGCACAGGGGGCAACTGACCCAAACTTCTTGTACTGGAGGCCAGGGACCTGGTCACTGGCTTTGTGTCCTGGGGCCTCAGGTGCTGGCAGCTGGAGGCTGTAGAGATCTGGCAGCTTACCTGGATGCTGAGGTTATCAACACTGAAGCTCTTGGTGTGTGTGTGTTGGC